CATGACCCTGTTCAACCTCAGTTAAGAACATGTGCCTTGGGCAACTCAAATTTTTCACCACTCTGCACGTCTGTGAATGACCATGAAAGCTCCAGGAGTATTGATTTTGGTGTTACAAATAAATCTTAGCAGGTAGGTGAATTCATAAATACAAAACCTGCAAATAATGAAAATCAACCATATTTACATTCTTATCACTCTACCTGTTTCTTGACTAGAAAGTTATATGGCCACATTAGTTACCTCAGTGCTGATCATAACTATTAATAATGCAATTTTTTTAGTAAAAGCCTTTGAAAATATAGATTAGAGGGGAAATAATAAATGAGAAGTTTTATAGGGAAAGAGTTGGGAACTGTTATCCAGAAAATACACATGCCTAAAAAACACATAGAAGATAATCATTATCTTAATTCTATTTTTCTGCCTAAGAAATTTTAATGTGCTAATATAATTGACCTAACCTAGGATCATGTGTTTAGAACACATGATAACTGCAAAAACAAGGTAAAGCATTCTCACAAGCATAAAGCACAGTATACAACTGTAGGCTTCTGGACTTCAATTTACTGTTGTATCAGTGTGGAATACTTTTCTGGTTAATTCCCTCACTTCTTTCAGTCCTCTGCTCAGATATCACTGTATCAGGCTTCCCTGACCACCTACATATGATATTCCCTGATGGCCACTCCTTGCCTCCACACAACCACAGTCTCCATCCCCTTTACCCTACTTCCAGTTTTTTCGACAGCACTTATCACCATCTGACATATGTTTAAATCATATGAAACTTCCAGTTTAGTAGGTCAAAAATGATCAAATAACAGCCTTTTAATAAGGTTCAATGGAATATTTGCTTGCTACCTCCCACAATTTACATATAATCTCCACTAGAAGGACTTTGTTTTCTTCTCTTTTATAATCCGGAGCCTAGTCAGAGCTTGATGTCCAATACTATTTGTTAAATGAATAATTACTATACAATCATTATTAGACACATCCTTAATATAAAGTACAAATATAGCTTAACCCATTTCAACAACCACTTAATATACTAGTGTATTCCCTTCCATTCCTATTATATGTGCATTTTTTAAGTCAAAATTCACATTTTTTTTTTCTTTTTTTTTTTTGTGGCACGCGGACCTCTCACTGTTGTGGCCTCTCCCGTTGCGGAGCACAGGCTCCGGACACGCAGGACCAGCGGCCATGGCCCACGGGCCCAGCCGCTCCACGGCACGCGGGATCCTCCCGGACCAGGGCACGAACCCGTGTCCCCTGCATCAGCAGGCAGACTCCCAACCACTGCGCCACCAGGGAAGCCCTCACATTCACATTCTTAATTTTACATCCTGCCTCACACACACTTAACATGTCACACGGTTAAGTCTTAAAATTGTTACTGGATATAGAAAAACCTTGTAAGCAGTCCCTAATTCAACCATATCCATTCTGTTAGGACATTTAGACTACTTCTGATACTTTATTATTGATTATAAATAACCCTTTGATGCATGTCCTTGCACATTCTGTACATTTCTGCATCCCTGACTACTTGTTTAAAACAGACTTACTGGGTCCTACGATATGAACTTTTTTAGGGTTGTGATGAACACCGTCAAGTTGCTTTTCAGATAAAGCTTTTATATTTTTATATTTTATACTTGTTAATATAAAGCTGAATATGTTAAAACTTCTAAATTTAAGGTGACTACAAAACAATGCATTAAAATATCCTTGGGGCTTCCCTGGTGGCGCAGTGGTTGAGAGTCCTCCTGCCGATACAGGGGACACGGGTTCGTGCCCCGGTGCGGGAAGATCCCACATGCCGCGGAGCGGCTGGGCCCGTGAGCCATGGCCGCTGAGCCTGCGCGTCCGGAGCCTGTGCTCCACAACGGGAGAGGCCACGACAGTGAGAGGCCCGCGTACCGCATTAAAAAAAAAAAAAAAAATCCTTATTAAGCATATTTTATATAGAAAGGTTGCTTATACTACAATAATTTGCTATCACTCGATGTACCTTTAAGTGTTTTAATGTTACTAATGAAAGACGATTTTAGATATAGGCTAACCAATTTATTATTCCATTTAACATTTTCTAATAAACCTAATCAACTTTTTTAAATTTTAAAATGTTTAATCTGATATTCTGATTTAAAAAAGAAAAAAACTGCATTTCAAAGAAAGTGTGTGGCGGTGAAGGTCTCAGATTTTAATTTTTTTTTCCAATTCCTACTCATCTCGGAGAAAAAACAAAAAACTGAAGATGGCGTGTCATAAATATAGCAGAAATCAATAAAGGTTAAAAGGGACACTTGCTAGAAGTTCTGTAAAGGCGTTCTGATATTCTGCTCAAGGCTACAGAATGGTTAGATTCTAAGGTATTTCAATTTACCTAAGGAATATTTTCTTATCTGAAAAACCACAGAGTAACTTGACATTGAGGCATCAATGTTTATCAGAGAAACACATAGGTGCCGAATGCCAAATGGCTGATTATCAGAACTTCAGACTAAAGGTATCTCTCAGGAACCACTGCCAAATGCCAGTTCACTCCATTGTTTTAAGGTCACAGCCCAACTGCCCACTGTAAGAAACCCCAGTGTAAAAGATTATTTACCAAGAAACACAGATGTCAAGTGTCATCAAGCTTCCCTACTAAAAGATAGAGTTTTATGCTGTTCTCCTTTATCACGTCTAATTTCTGGTTTTAATATCAAATGCTTATCACTAAAGTCTTTTTATCTTTTTTTTTTCCTGTCCTATTTCCCTATTACCTGTTGGTTTCAAGTGAGAGAAATCCAAACTCAAACTGGTATAAGCAAACAAAGAAAATTACTGACTTAGTAACTGAATGACCTAGGGGTAAATTTAGCTGAGGTACAGGAATTCGACGTCATTAAAATCCAGTTTTTATTCCACTTTTAGCTCCATTTTTGGATATTTAACATTCAAACATATTTATTAAGTATCTACTTTGTTTTAGATGTTGTGGAAGCAGTGGAAATAAGACAGGTAAGGAAGGTCCCTACTTTTATTGAGTTTACACTCCAGTAACAGTAAAGCCTTGAGATTCACTCTGATTGGACTAACTTCAGTCATGTGCTCATCTCTCATGAACCAATCACTTGGCCAGTGGTGAGCTGATCCGGCTTTAGCCTGGATAATATATTCCACCCCTAGGACGAGGGATGGGCCTGCGCTGGATAACATTAACGTCCTTTATCTTTTTATACCTCTCTTTCTACAATAATACCCCTTTTCCCAATCAGTATGTTCATCAAAATCTTATAGAAAACACCTAAATTGGATATTCCAAATTAAACCCTGCTTTACAACTAAACCACTTATGATTTTATTTTTCACTAAAAAAAGTTTTATCTTTATCCAGAAGAAATACATTAATGTAATTTTTGTTCATTTCTCCAGAAATGTCAGCATAAACTTCACTATACAGAGCTATGAAAATTTCTATAAATCGATGGAAAAGTTAGCGCAGACTCACATTTTAAACTAATCATACAAATATAAAAGATAATCTTTTCCCTAGAAGTGAAAGGATAAAACTTTTATGATTATATGATTTCATAACAAAAGTAGTAAAAACATTTAGGTTTAAAATCTTTCGAAAATTAACATTATGTGATATCATTTACATAAAGTTCAAATCAGAGAAACTAATCTATACTATCAGAAGTCAAGATAAAGGTTACCCTTGGCATGGGGAAGTAGAAAGTGACTGAAAGGAGGTACTGCTGGGACTTCCCTGGTGGTCCAGTGGGTAAGACTCCATGCTCCCAGTGCAGGGGCCTGGGTTCAATCCCTGGTCAGGGAACTAGATCCCACATGCTGCAACTAAGATCTGGTGCAGCCATGTGTGTGTATATATATTTATATATATATATATATATATATTTTTTTTTTTTTTTTTTTTTTGGAAGGGAGGGAGGGAGGAAGAAAAGAAAGGAGGTACTGCTAATGCTCTCTTTCTTGATCTAGCTGTTGGTTCAGTTTCTGGAAATTCACTGACCTTTATACTTAATGATGATGTGTTTTTCGTATTTATGTTATACCTCAACAAAAAGGTTTTGAAAAAGTTTATTACGTTTGCAATTAACACTCCTATAAACAAGAAGCTAGAAGAATAAACTTACTGTAGAGACGTATCAATAGGGACCAATAATAATGAAGAGGCACATTTCATTTTCTAGCAGGTAAAGGTATGCCTCTTAAGTAACAGGCCACAATTACTTCTATCCCATTATTTTAGAGCCCAACTATCGTTCTTCTTCCCTTCCCTTTATACTATCATTGTGACCAAATCCAAGGTTCCAATCATTCTGGGCTAATCTCCATTTCTTCCAATTTATATCTAGCAATAGCTGTTCCAACAGGAACCACACATTTATGAACATACAACATAAACAAAACATATATTTTTCATTTATAAAAACTTTTCTGGGAAAATTCAGGAACTCAAATTCCATATGTACTCTAAGTGCATTTGCCACCCTAATTTGTCATCAATAAATTGAGCATTAATTGTTTTAACTTTAAAAAAAAAAAAATCGCTAGATCCCCTCATAAAAATCACCCAGAAAAGCATGCAGTTAACAATGGCACACATACAAAAAGTAAACTTCCAATGCAATGATTGAAAACACCCTCAGACATTATTCAGCCCTGAAGACACACCCTAACAGCTTTTTTGACACTCAGAGAAAAATGAATATTAACTTTATATTTAGATATTTGGTAACAAACTACAATTCTCTGAGGAGCGATTTTCTCTTGTATAAAAGAGGAAAGCATACCAATCTTAATATTGATAATTATCATATAAATAAAATGAGATCATTGTAGAATGTTGTCAGTTTCCTTTATCCAATTCAGGGGAGTTTCTAAACTCACAAGATATCCCCTTCTCCATTTTTGAGCAGTTCAAAGTGGAAACAGGGTACTTTTAAACATGATGCAAAAAAAAAAAACCTTTTAATTACCTTTATTGGAGAAGAGAGTTACAAATATATCAGGGTGGAAAACTGGAATACACACTGCAGTGACTGGAATTGAAGGTATCAGTACATATAGCCTGAATCTAAACAAAAGGAAACATCAGAAACATAAACTGAGGTACATTCAACAAAATAATGGGCCTAAACTTGAGGAACTGTTCCAGATTAAAGGAGACTAGAAAGACAGGATAATTAAATACAACACATGATCCTTGATCTTAAAGCGATGAAAGTAATTATTAGGATAACTGACAAAATTTAATTATGGACTATAAATTAGATACTATATTAATGTTAAATTTCCTGATTTTGATCATTGTAACTGTGATTTTTTAAAAGAATATCTCAGTTAAGGAAAAAAATCTGGCAGTATACCTGGATCTAGTTCCACTCTATGAAACTTCATTACAGCCCTTCACTACCTGAAAATAGCTGCTGCTTCCCATTCTCCACCCATTCCAACCAAGTCATCCCTTCTCCACAGTAAGCACTCCAAACTCCTTCAAAGGTTCTCAGACACTTCATCATCATCTGGTTACCCTCCTCTTGACACATTCAATTTTTCATTTACTATTCTTAAAATGCAGCTTCTAAAAGCAAGGCCAACATCGTAAACATGTTCTAACCAACATGGAATACATATTACAGTATATCCCTTATTATGGACAGAATCCCATTAATACAACCTGGTACCTCATTTGTTTTGTTTTGTTCTTTTTTAAACAACTCACACTGTTGGATCTCTGAGATTATGCAAAACCAAACTCCTAAAATTCTCTATCAAATCCAGCTAGTTCTTACCCCAGCTGCAAAGGTTTCTCTTCTCAGTAGCCACACCCTGGAGCTTTTAATCAAGTCATCGCTTCTCTCCTTCCTTTGAAACTCCCATCTTTGACCTTCATTTCCTTCTAGATTTCCTCCTACCTGAGACAAACTTTCTAAGGCTTTCCCCCTCCATTTTCTCATGCAATGTGACTCCTCTCTGCTCCCAACAAAATGTACATGTCCCGCCCTTTCTAACCCTCTCTCCATAGCTGAAGTCAAACTCTTTCAGATAAATTTAATCTATAAACAGTTTTATATTTCTAGCCCCAACCAATACCCAAAACTTCAGACTGGCATATTCTGAGCTCTCAATCTAGATATCCCAAAAGTAGTTGTATTCAACAAGTACAAATCCCTAGTCATTTTCTTTCTACCTCCAAAAAACTATCTCCTCCCTATGTCAACAATCTAAAGGACATATATCTAATCACCCAAACTAAAAAACTTTGAGACATCTTAACTCTTTCCTTTTCCCATCAGTATACAGTCAATAAACCCTACTTCTTCTACTTCTGAAATGTCCTGAAAAAAACCTTCTACTCTTTCTGTCCTACTGTTACTGCTCCAGGTCAGGCCATCATCACCCCATTTAAACAACTGTAATAGCCTAATTAATCTCCCATTCCAATGTATTATTTATCTATTCACAAATATATGTCTTAATAAACAGAGCCCTGGCTGATTTTTCAGTCCCCTAATTAGAAAAAAAAAGAGAACAAACAAAACAAAACACCACAATGACTTTCTCCCATCTTCAACTCCTAGAAAACTTTTCTTCCTCAAAACCCAATTCAGTGATCCATCAGAATTAAACGCTCTCTTTTGTTCCCATAACACTTAAATCTTCTATCACAGAATTTACAATGTATAGTTTGATGTGTGTATATTCCTTACTTGATTACAGGCTCCTTGAGGGAACAGTGCAATTCATGTTTTATTCTCTAGTACAGTTCCTTGAAATTGGTGAACTGAATAGAATTCTACTTAGAACTTTTTCAATCGAATTCCATACTTTTTCAGAAATTCTTCACTTTTAAGTAACTCAAACAATAGGTTCCTGCCTGTGATTTCAGACAAAATTTTGAAAGCTGTTTTTAGTCATCTATTCTTGCCAGTTGAGTTGTTCAGAAAATAAGCACAACTGTATATTTATGCGAAGTATTAATAAAAATATTAAAATAAACCAGGACAAAAAAAGCCTTTTTAGATATATCTCTTAAGTTTGACATAAATCCCTCTGTACCAGTATTTAAGAAAGGTTATTTTACACCTATTAATGTAACGTTCTTAATGCTGATGAACTAGCCTATTTCTCTACCTTACCTCCAAGGACTGGAAAATGATTTAAAAAACTACTCTTTTTTTTTTGTTTTTTTTTAAATAAGACTGTCTGTTTCTAATCTTCTGGCATACTCTGACTCACCACAAATTAACAAAAGCTATCAACATCTCTCTCAGTTCCTTTGTGTCATTTAAATGATCTAAAACCTGTGGCATTAGTCAAATAGGTAGAAAATGAATTCTTAGAATCCAATCAAGTGGTGAAACAACCTGGGTGGGGTTTACAGATCTTTATCAGGCAATGGAATTCAAAGGCAGTTACAAAAAGCCTTAAACTTGAATGGAGAAGAAACCAAAAGACATTGTCTTGGAGTTCCACTGTTATCATATCACGATTTTTGTTGAAGGTTCAATGTGTCCGTGTGCGGAATGAGAAAAACCACCTGGACAAAGGCAGCTTCTGAAGCCAATCAATGTCAGGTTGATAATCAGCCAGTCAAGAGATGGTAACTGGTCTGTGTTCATAAACTGTGTCACAGAAATTTCAACTTGCTTGAGACAACAAAACTATTCCCTTAAGTAACAGACTCTCTGCCAAGGTGAATTAGAATTAAATACTACTAAAATTTAAGTATTATATATCAAACCCACAATATTAATATTTCCATGTTAAGTTTACAACTATGTATTTTTTAAGTTTTTATAGTGTTTAAGAGAACTTTAACATTATAGAATCTGACAGTCTTATAATTCTAAATTTAAAATAGTAACTGACTTCAGCCTTAGGACATTAAGTTTAAAGGTATAAAGTATTTGGTTTGGTTAATAAGCAATATTGGAATGCTTAAGAGAAATTATGACTGACTATAGTTATAAGTTCCACTTATTAATTTTTTTTTTTTTTTTTTTTTTGCGGTATGCGGGCCTCTCACTGTTGTGGCCTCTCCCGCCGCGGAGCACAGGCTCCGGACGCGCAGGCCCAGCGGCCATGGCTCACGGGCCCAGCCGCTCCGCGGCATGTGGGATCTTCCCAAACCGGGGCACGAACCCGCATCCCCTGCATTGGCAGGCGGACTCTCAACCACTGCGCCACCACGGAAGCCCACTTATTAATTTTAAAGGAGTTTTAAGTATTCGGGAAAGTCCTGCTTGTTGAAATTTTACATTTACTCTGTAAGGTATATAAAGTGCTAAAAAAATAAAATAAAAACCAGTATAATTAATGTGTAAATATAAGGAATGTAATTAAGTTAAGCAGCAGCAGTAGTGCTACTAACAGCTAACATTCAAAGAGCATTTTCCTAGTGCTCAACATTGTTCCAAGTACTTTACAATATAAAGTCATTCATTCAACAAATAATCACTGAGCATACACCATGAAGTAGGCATTGTTCCAAGCTCTGAGAATTAAATCAGTGAACATAAATCAGTGAATTATGAAAACACAATTTCAACCTTCGTGGATCTCATATTTTAATGAGAAGAGGCAAACAATAAATATCAAATATGATAATTACTGTGAAGAAAAATAAACCAGGGAAACTGAAAGGAGGAAGTGCTCTTTTAGATGGTATAAAGAGGGTCACACCAGTAAGCATCATTCGCAGGGAAGTCTATGTAAATGATGCCCCTTGGAAACTCCTTCATCAGGGAAAACCTCTCTAGACCAAGTGACATTTGAACCTAAGAAATGAGGGAGCAAGGCATGCAAATATATAAGTGTATTACAGAAAAAGAAAACAAGTACAAAAGCCATTTTACCTGGAAAGGGTGTTTTAAGGGACATTTAATCTCTTCAGCAAGAATTACTAAGATACAGTAATCAAAGTGTCATCCCCCCACCCAGGATAACAAAAATATTCTTAGTTTATATGAAACTTGCTCAATTTATTAATAGAGTAATAAAATATATAAGTTGAACTTAAAAGACAAGTTTTTTAATTTGTTAACTACTCAATATTCTTTTACCAAAACTTGTAAATGGTCTTCTTTACACCCAAAAGCAGCCACAGACATCAAGAAACAATGATGCTTCATTGCTCTAAGTAATTCATTAGAACTAGAGATCTAAATTTATTTAATGAAACTAGGTGCTCTTTACCACATAACAATCATGGAATAGTCTCCTCTTTAAACAAGGTTGTGTCCCTTCCAGTATGAAAGTCATCTTCCTAGACATAAGAGAAGTAAAACAGGATTTGAGTAGTTGTCATTATTTAATATCTCCCCAATGAATGGGTCTCTTTCTTCCTTACTTATCTTGCTGAGTTTAGCTAAAGCCCTCCCTTGTTGGCTTAAGCATTTTTTGCAAACTTTAACTCATTCAGAGCTCTAGCCTCCCCATATTCCTACTGACACATTTTAGTATTAACCATCAGTTATAAACCATTAGTAATGCAGGTATTCTTGATACGTTTTCTTTTGAAGTTTATTAGAAATTATCTATGTGAAAGTCACAATATTTTCTCTGAATGACTCATGCATTTTTCTCCCCTCAGTGGAAATTTTTTGTAATTTTAATACATGCTCCATTTTTTAAAATAACATGTTTCATTTTTAAGTGCCTTCTATCAATATTGTCTACATCATCTGTGGTCATTACCAATCTTTCTTCTGACCTTTCTGAAACTTGCTTTTCTGTGAATTCCTACCTAATAATTTAAAATCCAAAGTGACACAGTCTCAACTTCTGATTCCCATGATTTCCATTTCTATCTAGGAGACAAAGAACAGTATTTTGGAAAAACATGGACTTTGAAATCAGACAGATATCTGTCACTCACTAGCCGTGTAACAAACTTCTCTGAGTCTCCATTTTGACATCAATAAAGAACAGATTTAATGAGCACCTATTTTATATCAAGTGCCTTATACACTATATGTAAGTAGAAAGTATGTATCATTTATATTGAGGAAAACAAGAGCTTATATATAAGCAATTTTCTTAAAATCACAGAGTTTCTAAGTACTAGAGCCA